GTCCCCCAGTACGGGGACTCTGCGAAGAACAACTCTAGTTAAAACAACCCTGGGGCAGAGAGACAGCCAGGCCAGGCTGGAGGGATGGCCCTGGAGGGAATCTAGACAGCCTTGGGACTCCTGATCACGGGGGACAGAGGCTTAAGGAGAACAGAAATTGCTCAGAATAATGGAGAGGAGATTATATATATATATATATACCTAGCACCGGAGACTGGGGAGGATGGGGCCGGCCTGCGACATCTCGTTGGGAGCTTTCCGACATTTCTGTCCTGCGAGGGCGGTGGCAATCTTCTCTCACATCTATCTCTATCCCTCCATGGCGGGTGGGTCTCCCTGGGGGACACCGAGGGGGGCCTGGGCCAGTGCCTGAGGCTGTGGGGACCGCCAGGCTGCTGACAGTTCCCCACTCAGCTCAGCTCAGCTCGGGGAGGCCTGGCCCTTCCCACGCCCCTCCTGGAATGTGGAGCTGCTCCTGGGAGCTGAGCACAAGTGTGACGTCCCCTCTGCAGTCTGAGGTCGGTCAGCCTCCCAGGCCTGGGCCAGCATTCTTGATGCGCAGCCAACACAAGCAAGGGGCGAGGGGCCAGGGCAAGTTCAGAGGCTCTCGGGCCCCCGCCATCTGACGGCCCCTCGCTTTCATTCCTTGTGGGAAGAAGGTGTCTAATGCCAAAAATTCCACGCTGGCTGAAGGGGCAAAGACCAAGGCTCTGCTATTTGGGAGACCCTGTCCGGGTCACCTGTAGATGCTGCTGTATGGGAAAGTGCCACAGGTCTCTTCTGAGGCATGAAAGAGGGTTTCATTCTGATATGACTTGCAAACCAGAGAATGTAGCCTTCGGCATAAACCAAAGACATTCTCCAAGGTGGGAAGGATAAGGCAGGGGTTTTAAAGCAGAGGCTGGCAAGCTGATCAAAAGGATGTGTTGTTAGGGAAACAAGATCGTGAGCCTACATCATTCATTGTCTGATCGGTGCGGGCACCCGGATTTTTCAGGAGTCCGCTGACTCAGTGGTCAGCAAGTGATATTCCCTCACGCTGGAAATGCCTGCACAGAGCTGAGCTGAGACATCAGGACGCAGCCCCCTAAGTACCTAAAATGTGGTCCTCAGATGCCACCTAGAGGCTTCCAGGGAAGTGGGGCACAGAGAGGGGGGCCTCCCCATTGCACAACTCCAGGGGCACGTGCATGCAAACTTTGGGCCTCTTGGTGGGGCAAGTGCCCCATCTCACTGGGGACAGGGTATGCACGTGAATGAGGCCTCTCCAGCCAACTCCCAAGAGGCTCTTTGGACCCCTCTGATGGCTGAAGCTTTCCCCAGGCAGCTGAGAGGAGGCAGGAGGGAGTCTGATGTTCTCAGTGGAGAAAGAAAGGTTTAGACCTGGCCACAGCCAGGAGCGGAAGGCCTGAGGAGAGGGGACCAGACTGCCTGAGGCACTCTGTGTTGCAGCTGCCCCCAGGTTTCTGGAAGCTTCCCCTGGGTGCATCTAACAGCCAAGGTCGGGTCTCCGTTCCCACAGTGGATGCCTGGAATACTCATGTTTTCCATGTCTCTGCGTGGGAGCCAAAACCAGCTTCTAAGAGCCAGGAGAGTTGAGCCCGAAGGGAGAGGCAAAGACTCCCCGTCTCCGGGGCTGGACTGATGGGCCGCGTGTAGGTCAAGGGCCCAGCCTGAGCCTGGCCTCCTCCCCTCCTCGTCTTTCGCCTCCCAGCTCTTCCTCTCCTCCCCACTCTTCGTCCCGGTCCTCCCGCTTTGAACAGTTTACCCACAGACAGGCAGCGATGCCGAGGCAAGGGTCAGAGCTGGTTCAGATCCTGGCTCTGCAGCTCGCAGCCTCTCCGCTCTTATCCGTAAAATGGGAGGATAACGCCTACCTGATGGGCCGTTGGTGGGGTCAGCGAAATCACAAGCGTAAATGTTCCAGGCCCATATGCCCTTGAAAGCCACTCAGTCTAGATCCTGGAAAATAATTACAAAAAGAAAGAGAAGAGATCCTTTTGTCTTTGAGAGGCCATACAGAGCGGGATCAAACTACTCAGTGTCCGAGTCTTGGTTTTCCGTCCTATAAAATGAAAGTAATGATGGACCTACCACAAAGACCTGTCGTGAGGATTCAGCGATGTAATGGATACCCTCAGCACACAGTAGGTGTTCACTAAATGAGTCATTGTTATCGCTATTCTTGTGGAGGATTATTTGTCTTGCAGGAACACAGGGAAGATGGAAAAGACACACACTATCCCCAAACTCCTCTGAGGCTGCGCTTCAGGCAGCAGGGGTGTTGAGAGTCAGCGCACAGGCTCCGTATACCGAAGCTTAGAGGAGAAATACGGTGTGCCAGAGAGCGTGGCCCGGGCATTAGTAAGAGAGAGAGAAGAACGGCTTCATTACATCATGCATGATCCAGGGCCTTTATGCCTTGAATTCAGTCCATCTCAGCGGCTCTAGAACCGCCCTGGTCTGAACATGTCTGTCTACGGGTCTGCCTTCCACTCCAGACTGGTTGGTTCTTGAGGGTGAGAGCCATGTCATCATACCTGGTGTTTTAAATCACGTGTGGGCATGTGACAGGGAGTAAGTAGTTCAGGGACTGGATGTTCGACTCAAAGGGTAAAAGGAAAGACAGCCTTGGGATTTTTCCTGAAAATTTTTTACAGGGTTGCTAAGCTGGCAAGTTATAAGTTAGGAATGATTAGAGGCCATCTTGTTACCACAAAGGGAGAGCTGGCCTGAGAGTGATGTCAACCCAGAGGAAAGCAGAACTGAGAGACAGAGGTAGATATGTAATCACATCATGTGAACACCTGGATCCAGCCTTTCCTGAAGCCAGCAAGAACTGATCTACTGATCTACTGAGCTGTATGAGCTAAGTGAGGCCTGGGGGAAAGGGTACGAAATGTACCTCTGAAAGATGCTGCCTTAACTCTGGAGCAGGCACACCTGGGGTCAAAACCCGCTTCTACTCTGAAGGGACCCTGGTTCTCTCACCTGTAAAATGAGGAAACACACATTGCTGTGAAGATTCATTCAGAGAGTATGGGGAAATCACGGTTTCTTCTGCTTGATGAATGATGGTCCTTTTCTCTCACCCACTGCTCCTAAAACAGTGTCAACAAGCCAGGCTGTTCTAGCCAGCCAGGGGGACACACCTGTGCAGTTCCTTCAACAACTTCCTTTACCCCCATTCCGGATAGCACTGCAAGGCTCCACCCCTAAAGGCTGGCCTGGAGGAAGACCAACCAAACTGGTCAGCCTGGCCTGGCCTCCACCAGACATTTACAGGCCCTTATCTCCACCATGACTAAATTTGGATCGCAAACTCAGATAATCAGCCTGGGAATTCCTGACGAATTCCAGCAAGGGCCAGCCATTCTCCTTGTGTTTTGCAGAGTAGGGAGATAATTTTTCCCAGTAACAAGTTTAAATTAAAAGCAGTAATCGGTCATTATAGAAAATTTGGGAAATGCGGGGGGAAAGGTCACCAACGAGGCCATGGCCCAGCCCCAGCTACTGCTTGCCTGGGTGTTTGCTTCTTTTCTGTTGGTCATTCCAACATATGGTCAGATTTGGGGACTGTTTTTTTCTTTTTCTTTTTCTTTTTACACCCATGAGGTCAAAGTGTTTGTAGTTTCACATCTTGATTTTCCCACTGTACTTGAACATAAAGATGTTGCCGTGTTACGGATTTTTTGCTGAGTGACAGGCACTGCGCCTAGCACGTTATCAGCATGATCTCAACAATGCTCACACCCACCCTAAAATCGGGAGCTCGTGTATTTCTGGCTTTGCAGCTGAGGAAACTGAAGTGTCTCGCCCAACGTCGTGGTGAGGCCCAGGCTATCTGGCTTCACGGCCCATGCCATGGACTGGGTCTGTACCTGTATCACGGTTTAACCTTTCTTACAGAGATGCTTGTTGTTTTGCCAACCCAGTGTTCCCGCGTTGCTCCAACTTCTCCCGCGGGCTGCGATTCTCCGCTTTCAGTTCTATTGGGGAAGCTACTCAGGGGAGCCGAGCACGTGTCCTGGCCCTGGCCAATCAGAGGCCCCTATCTCTCTGGCTTCCGTGATTGGGTCAGGGCAGGGCACGTGATCTCGGTTGGTCCAGGCAGGGATGCTGAAAGGCAGGATGGAGCATGGACACGTGAGGTTGGATGCCTTGAGAACCTGCCTGGGAACGGGGCTGAAACAAAGGATGGCAGAATGAGAGGAGGAGAGACCAAGTCCTGTAGCTGCGTTTCAGATTCTGGACCCAGTTGCACCAGAAGTGGGTTCTGCTATTGGACTTCTCAGTTACTTGAGCTTTTTAATTCTCTCAAGCCAGTGCTCGTTGGTTTTTGTCACTGGTGACCAAGAGTTCTGGAAAGAACAACCTTGCTGTTGGACATTAATGTTAGATTATAGTGTTTTTTTTTCTTTTTTCTTTTTACCATTATAAATAGTGCTGCAATGCTCTATCTTTATATAGAGAGCTTATCTTTTGATTCGAATTATTTCCTTGAGATATTTTCGCAGGACTTACTTGGCAAAAGGATCAAACATTGTCAGGGCTCTATAGACATTCTGCAAATTGTTTCTCCAAGGTTGGCAATGATTTGTCTCCCTCACCTCCATTCCCTAATAGTGCGTACAACCGTGATTTAAAAAAATGACCTCCGAAAAGACTTTTTTAACAAGCCAAAGTTGTATTTGTTTTTAAACAGGAAAATCATGTTAATATAAAACAGATAGAAACCGACAAAAAAAAAAATCAAAACACACAACACACAAAAGCACAACACACAGGACCAGTGCAAACCCTTCCCAACCCACTTGCCCCGAGTTTTTAAATTTTATTATAGATCCCCAAAGATTAGACTGTATTGGAGAAGTCACAGTATTGAATCAGAAAAATAAGAAGAGTAAGAGTCATTTTTTAAAAGGACTGTACACAGGTAGTGGGGGGTGGGGTGGAGGACGGACACTTCACTCCAACAGCAAACACATAATGCAGAAGGATTTCAGTGATTATCACAGATTTATAGAACACTACAATATATCCCCTGCCCACTTTTGAAAGTTGCTTTTAAAAGGGATAAAAAGTGCACAGACACTTTCATAAGGCACAGACAGATTGTTGCACAAGTCATTTCATCAGGGACTTAGAAAAGACAGTGAGACAATTAAATACCGAGAAATGCCAGGTGGCCACGTGTTCCTGAGCCGGTGTCCCTCTGCCGGAACTGGGGCAGAGATGGGATCTAGCAGTGGGAGGTTTCTGCCTCTTGGTCTGACTTTGCACGATCCCCTTCTTAACTGGCATGCATCGGGGATTCTCCAGGGACTTGGGAATTGATTTCCAGCCACCAGTCCCAAGGCCTGAAAGTAGCAGATAGCCATCTCCCCACGTCTCCCTGGCAAGACCTGAGGGTGGTCATTGACCGGTGGGGACTTTGGCTTTTCTGCTCAAGGCTGTTTGGCAGCAGCTCACCGACTACAGGTCCCTGACATTTCTAATGTGGAGGAGGCCTTTTGGAGCACACAAGAGGCTCTGGGTCTGGAAAGCAGTCATTGGGCACTCGCTGAGACAGACCTCCGAGGCAGGAGAATGGCAGAGAAAGCCCAGTGGGTTCTGCCCCTAATGTCTCATTACCCTCTTGATGTCTCTCCCTCTGACGTCAGATCTAGGGCATTGTCCTCATAGCTCCATCCTTCCAGCATCTCACACCTAGCAGGCACTCAGCAGATGTGTTTGTTGAATGACTTTGTGTGCATGTGTTTTATCAAACCCCTGAACACTCATAACCTGATTTCTGATTTATTTAGCAAACCTTTAATGAGTACCTACTATGTGCTAGCACAGAACCCGACACTAGAGGGATCAAATAAAAGTTTACAAATCTGTCCATCTCCTACTCTGGACCACAAGCTCCCTGTGGGATTTGTCTTCAGTCCCAGTCCCCAGTCCTGTGTCCAGAACACAGGCCGTGCTGAGCAGTGGGTGATGCTGCAGTTATGGGAGCGGCTGCCCCGAGTAGCTAAATCCCAGGAGATTCCCAGTTCTGGGAGCGGACTGGAAAAAAGGAGCTCGTTTTGATCTGTAAACAGCCCAACTGTCCTGGTGATTCAAAATGAACAGGCATAAGCCCACAACTCAGGGGCATCTTCTGGTCTCCCACCCAGCCCTGGGGGCCCTGCTTGAGGGGTGGTGTTCAGGGGGCCCAGGAAGGTGGTAGGATGAGGCCTTTGGACCCTCCCCAAAGCTGTCTCATGTGGGTGACCCTGGGGACCAGGAGGAGGCCCTGGGGTTCAGCTCCACTGGGACAAGGTAGGATTGAAAGGAAGGACACTTGTCCTTCCGGGCTGTGGGTGGCACAGGGGCCGCAGCCTGGGGCTGGGACCCTCCACACAGACACGAGTGCCCAGGCTCTCTGAGGTGCTGCTATATGACTTTCAAGGAAGAAAACTCGGCGGTCTTAAGCTTTCTGGGCCAAGCAGCGGAAAGCATGGGGCTTGGTGCCAGACACTCCCGGATTGGAATCCCAACCCTGCTACCTGCTGTGATTGTACATCACTTCACTACTGGGACCTCAGTTCTCTTACCTGACAAATGGGAATAATACCGTATTTCATCCACTCTAAGTAACATTTTTCCCCGCCACTTTTCAATATCTCTGATTGGAATTAATTGTATAGCTGTGGCATCCTACAGTTAAAATTGGCAGCGTTTTTTCCTTAACGGTACATAATACGGTGTGTTTTTTATCAGTGGTGTCTTAGACATGCCTCCACATGGTGATAAGTGCTTCACAGGATCTGTGTGGAGGCCCACCGCCCCCTCAGAGTGGTCCCCTTGCCTTTCTCCTGCCTGTCTCAAGACAACGTAGAGGGCCATGCGGGCAGCCCCTCTGCAGCATTGAATAAATCAGTGACAGCATCAGGAAATGTCTGCGTTTTAGAAGATAAACACCCCCTAAATTCTCCTTGGACACAAGGAGGCTATTTATAGCAGCTGCAGAACAAGTCGGACAGGCCACCAGCTCCAGGTAATGGGTCGCCAGGAGCATAGCCTGGTCCACCGTGGGTCCAGGCCCCCGGTCTCTGGTTTCTTGGTGGTGTCTGCCCAAGAACCCTGGCTGGAAACCAAGGGGGCAGTCAGGAAGGGCAAGTGGCAGACGAGAGGAGCTGGCTCCCCCAGGCCACTGGGACCACCAGAGCTTGTGACTGTGGCTCAGGCCAGTCAGGGGGACTGTTCTCTGGAGAACCACAGTCCGGGAGAGAGGGGAGGGTGATGAATCCTCTCACACAGGGCCCAGGCCTACACCCAGCACATGGGGGGAATGAACAAATTTAGTGGGGAACCGAGTGCTGCTTAGATTCTCAAACTCTTATCTTGGCAAATGCTGTGGTTCCAGCAGCTCCCCCAAAGATTCTGCTGTAAAATTAAAATGTAGGCGTGTTTCCCAAACCCACTAGAGCAGGAGAATCTATCAGGGGTTCTTGTAGGGGCAAGAGTAGCATTTTTGCAGTTGAGATCAGAAAACGGGCCACTTCTAGACTGAGAAGCAGCAGGTGGCCTAAGAGCTGGAGCATCACAAAGGCACCACCAAACGGTCTTGTGGGACTTGATCTGACGAGGGCCCAGCCCAGCCGGGTTCTGGGCTCCTAGACACCCGGCAAACATCCGTCATGTGAATTCAGAAACTCTGAATGTTCTCCTTTGCCTGCCTCCATCAACAGATAAATGGATTCAGATTATCATAAAAAACAATACCTGCTCTTTGCAAGGTGTCTCAGGCCTTTCAGAATGTCGTGCTGGTCCACCCAGGAGCCCTGGAGTGGGCAGGTACAAGGCTTTCTCTTGGATAGACGGGGAACTGAAAAACAGAGGCGCCCAGGGATTCCCCTAAAGGCACAGCACGAGACAGGGAAGATGCGGGGCCCAGCACTGGGGACAAGAAGGGAGAAGCAGGCCTGGGCCAGCCCATCAGCCCAGGTGGGGTCTGCGAACCTGCAGAGAGGGGCCCAGGCAGGGCAGCGGCAGGGCCAGGGTCCCAGGAAATGCCTCGCAAATAGCCCTGGGAAGGGGGACAGTCCCAACGTCAGCATTTTCGGTTAATGTCTCAGTTATTAGTTGACATCCCAATGATCAATTAACATCTTAGTAATCAGCAGGGGAAGATAGGCTGAGAATCGGAACAAAGACCAGTTAGTTGCAAAGCCCTGTTCCCCCGCACTTTGCCAGCAGGTCGCCCTGGTGATGCCTGCGGGCCAGGGGTTACAACAGGAAGTGTGGGGAGTTGTCTGGGTCCTGCAACGAGTGGCCTTTCCAATTCCAGGTGAGTCACCAGCCTCTAGGCTTCTTTCCCTTCCCTAGGAAAAGAGAACCTGTTGCTTGTCTTCTCCTTGGACATGGTGGGGCGGTAGGTACAGACTAAAAGGATCTAGGGACAGTCAAGTGCAGTGTGCTTATAATTAGGCTGTCTGGGGGTAGAGGGGTGAAAAGGCTTCTGGGGGCGACACCGCCCAGAGCTCTCTGCTGGCTGCAGCACCCATCAAAACGCTCCGGGAAGGAGTTAGAAACCAAAGGAGCAAATTGTTCTTTTACGTTCTCCGCCCACCTTCCCCCCAAGGAGTTGCTGCTTTGGAGCTGTAAACAATGAGCTATTTTTTCTTCCTCCTAGAAAATGTGACTGTCGCTTTTCTATACCATCCCAGGGAGTTCTGTTTAGGTGCAGGCTTAATACATTCAAAACCAGCTGACGTCACAACCCCAGAAAGTGAACAATTTCTAGTCAAGCTAAGGTCTGGGCTCCAGATGGCACATTCCTTAGTGTTAAATAACGTCTTAGAGCCAGGAGCCCCGGATAAACACCTGCGCGTTCTCTCTCATTCTTGCACATGCCCTCTCCCTTCTCTGTCTCTTTCTCTCACACACAAACAGTTCGGCACCCACCTCCCCCCAGCAAAAATCATTGCACAGAGGGCACTGTTCTCCAGCCGAGAAGTCGCCGAGGGATGGGTGGTCTGCCAGGCGGCTCCTGAGCTTGCTCTTGGGACGGCCTTTTGGGGGCAAAGCACTTTTGAGCTAAGATAACCCTTGCCTGGGCTCGGCACCCCGGGGGCCTCATCTCCATGCCTATCACGCCTTGCCCACCACTGCAGAGTGGCAGACGAGATGGCCGCTGCCCTTGGACTGCCAGGCAGCCATGGTGGTTGCCCAGTCCGGGGGTGCTTCAGAAAAGTGACCTTGTTCCAGCCAAGGCCCGTCATCAGGCCAGGCTATGGTCTATAGATCTTAATGACATCTTTGATGGGCCGCCGGCAGATGGGGCAGCAGGCCCGGGCCTGCCTCTTGAGCCGCAGGCCACAGCTGTGGCACAGGCACATATGTCCACACGTGTAGATGACTGTGTCCACTTCGCCATCGAAGCACACCGTGCACTCGCCATTCTTGCTGCCCGCTGGCTCTGGTGGGGAGAACATGGGAGACACCGGGGGGCTCAGCGGGGAGCTGGGGGCCGTCACTGCAGAGAGGGAGAACAGGACAGACCTGAATAATGTGGTCCTCAGGTGTGCTCTACTGGGGCAACCCCGAGAAGACAGCGTCTGTGGTGGAACCATGGGGGACAATCGTGGGAGACGCCAATTTTGGATTTTCTCCTGGGCCCTGCCCCTTTTCCTACTCTCCTATCCCAACTGTCAAGCCCCATTTTCACCCTGTGGGATGCCGTGTCTGGATGTTTCTCCTCCCTCCAGTTGAAAGCACAGCTGAGGAAGAAGAAGGTGCAGGGGGAAAGCCGGCCACCCTGCTGCGCCCCAGGAAGGTGCTGACACAGCCAAAGGAGCCAGGCCGGCCGCCGGCCCCTTCCTCCACCCCCGCCCTGAGTGTTTCCTTACCCAGGGATGACTCGGATGCCGAGGACGACTGGTTGACACTGAAGGCCATGTCAGAATCGCTATCGTCCTGGGAGCCGCTCAGGGACCCTGATGGAGATGTGGTTGCAGGGCTGGATTGCAGGGTGCCTGAGACCAAAGAGACTCCATGAGGGACAGTGGCAGCTGGTCCCTGGCTCTCTGCCGCTTCGCACCTCAGCCTCCCTGTCTGCCTAATGGGAGGACAAGAGCTATCTGGCAGGGTTCTGCTAAGGGCTGATGGAATCGTATGGGTGTGGTGAGCTCCGTCCTTTGCCCACGCAGCCTCCTTTCCTATTTATTTCAGAAACAATACTGGGATTTGGTTTTGGGGGGCATTACTTCACCCTTACTCACATGATCCAAGCCAGGCCAAGAGCTTCCACCCCTTTGGTCTCCATGGCGATTCAGGAAAGGCCATGTAAGCGGATGAAGGCCAAAGAGGTGTGTACTAGAACTTACACTCCAACTTGGGAAAGAAGGGGTTCGTTCCATTGGGAGGTAAGCCTGGCACTGTAGGGCTTGCCTGAGAAGCCAAAACAGAGGAAAGTGAACTCTGAGATAGAAAGACAGATGAGATCCTGATGACATTCTTTCAACACCTAGCCAGACAAGTCACTGTTGTTACTATCACTACTTATTGAATATGCTGTAGGCCAGTGGCCCTCAATCTTTTTGGCACTAGGGACCGGTGCTCCTATGAGAATCTAACGCCTGATGATCTGAGGGGGAGCTGAGGCGGCGATGCCGGTGCTGGGGAGCAGCTGCAAATACAGATGAAGCTTCGCTTCCTCACCCGCCGCTCACCTCCTGCTGTGCGGGCCAGTTCCTAACAGGCCATGGACCAGAACCGGTCCATGGCCCGGGGGGGTGGAGACCCCTGCTGTAGGTGGAAGGCACCTGCTGAGAGCGTTATATGTACCTCGTCATTTCATCCTCACAACCTCAGGATGCAGGTAATTACTCCCTTTCTACACAGAAGGAAACTGAGGCTCAGAGAGGCTCTGCGATTTGCCCAAAGTCTTCACGGCTGACCAGCTATGTGACTGACTGGCTATGTGACTGGCCCAGTCATTTAATCTCTCTGTGCTTCAATTTCCTTACCTGTAGATGAGACGGATACCTGTTTCATATGGTCACCGGGAGGACAAAATGGAATGAGGTAACATGTGACATGTTCATCGTTTCTGTTATCATTTGGATTTTACTTCTTGAACCATGAAAATGGAGCTGTGCTCCCTGGTGCCCTTCCCTGACCACTGCCCCAACTCCGTAGGGCGGGAGAGGAGCCCTCTGCCACGGCAAACATCGCACCGGTCAGCTCTCCCTTTGGGACATCTGTGTCCTGTCCTCTGCCTTGGCCCATCCTGGGGCCCAGGACCTGGCCCACAACTCGTGGGTGCTCTCTGATAATATGTGACATAAATGAAGGAAAGAATCAGCTCAAAATAGGGGGCTTCAAGCCTCCAATCTATTTTCTGTGGACCGCGTTATTACTTCCTCTTTTAAGTGTAGATGAATTTTTCTTACACTTAATATGCATAACACATGTAAAAGATAATAAACCACCCCTACTGAATCGGAAGGTCTGGGCGGAGGCGGGCGGTTCTCCCGCGGGTCGGGATCCCAGCGCGGCCCGCAACCCAGCGCGGCCCGCATCCCAGCGCGGCCCGCATCCCAGCGCGG